AATCTCCGGGTTTGAACGAGTCTCAGAAATCGCCTGTCCGGGGAGCCTTCCGGTCCGATTCAGACGGCGGGTCCTTCATAGAAGTTGGAGAGCATTGGAACACGGTCTCATAGCAAGTGGAATCGTGGAATTCGGACGCGTGAGCAGAGAGATAAGCTCGTCGGAAGGAACCCCTGTCTCGCAGGTATTCCGGACCGAGCAGATCAGTTTTGAAGGATGCGAAGGACGGTGCACTTCCAGGCCGATTCAGTTTCCGGGGCCTTCATGAGAATCAGAGACATTTGAGTCTTCTTTCCAGAACATCCAAGATCAGTCAATTCGGAGCTTTGAGCAGAAAGATACGGTCTCCGGAATGGACACATGTTTAGACGCCTCTCTCTGGTCGTGTAAATGCACTTCAAAGATATGCCCTCCAGGAAACCTTACACTTCCCAAGCACTGAAACTTCCTTCATCAAAGTTGGAGATAAATGAGTTCTCTGTCTTCTGCAACCGGAATCACTCAATTCGAACAGGTCTCCAGGAAGTTACACTCTCCGGAATGCGAGATAGTCCAGACAGCCAGGATGACTAAGTTAAACATGCCGCGATTTCAATGCCACGGTCCACACTTGGCCGTGGCAACTTTTGTGCACCCTCGGCCAATGACACAATCTTCATGCCACGGTCTACACTTGACCGTGGCAAACACACACTTGGCTGAGAGGAACTTAGCAACCGTTCGGCGATTGACACGGCCTAAATGCCACGGTATGAGGCTTGGCCGTGGCAACATCTTGAAACCTTCGGCGATTGGCACGAGCTTAATGCCACGGTCTGGGATTTGACCGTGGCAAATGAACAAGTGGCTGGAGATAACTTCTACACAGTTTCGGCCTTTGACACGATCTCAATGCCACGGCCTGAGACTTGGCCGTGGCAAGCATATACTTGGCTGGGAAGGTCTTCACATGCATGCGGGTTTTGGCACGGTCTGAATGCCACGGTCTGGGGGCTTGACCGTGGAAACCTTTACACATCTTCGGCGTTTGACATGGTTAACTTGCCACGAGTCCCAGATGAAGCTTGATCAGACCGTGGCATCAAAAGGAACCAAGAACACAAGTAAAGACTTTGACACGGTCAGGAATGCCACGGTCACACCAAGGATGCACCAGACCGTGGCAAACCCTTCTTTGCCCATCAAGGCCGGGTCAGTACCCGGTTTGTTCCGGGTTGACCCGGTTCGCCCAAGCCTCCTTTATAAGGTTTTTAGACCTAATTTGTAGAGAACACTTAATCTACTTTTAGTCTTCTTTCCCTTTTTGTGAAAACCTACTGAATACACTTTGTTTTAGAGAGTTTAAAATCGATTTGCAGTTTCTTTCCTTCTTGTTCATCATTTCTTATCATCAAAATCAACTTCTAATCATGATTAACAACACATCTTGCAAAGGATCTAGTGTGTTGATCATGATTAGTGAGTAATTACCTTAATGAGGTTCTAGATGTGTAGGTTAGGGTGCTAAAGTGTTAGATTAGGAGTGCTTAGGGCTAGATTCATTGATTCATTTCTCTAAACAACTGTTCTCTATGCTAGATCCTTGATAATCACTTGAGATCTAGATTCTGGGAATTTCATGCACCAAAAGTGTTTGATGAAATTCCTGAAAGAGTTGTGTTAGAGGTTTAAGCAATTTTTCATCATGGGAATGATTTGTTAAATGCTTGAATGATCATTGAGAACTGTTTATTAATGCATATTGATTCATATTTCACAAATGGGAATTTGGTTTGAAAATGGATTAGTATTGGGGTTAATACCTTCATGAGAAGATTAACCTAGATTAGAGTTCTTAATTATTTGAATCATGTCTCATTATTGTCATTAGCATTTCTAGTTTAACACCAAAGCACCCTAACCAACTATCATGTCTAGAATCTCATGCCTCCATCATATCATATTTATATCATTTATCATTGTCATTAGTCTTTAATCCTGTTTATGTTTATAGTTGTCTCTAGATTAATCAAAACCCACTCTTGTTTGCTTGAATTAAGAACTTGATCATATAGCTTAGTGTCTAACATCACATCTGGATTGATAAACCTCTTTGTGCTACATTGACAAGGGGATTGATAGCCCTGAGACCCTAAAAAAGTCTTGTCTATCACTTTTGGGACTAAGGAAGTGAATCTGGTTAGTCGGCTTTCTTAACAAGCAAATTCAATACTTTATATTTATTTTTATCCTAAAACCCTTAAAAATCCCTCTTAAGAGACTGTGTTAAAGATGGTCTTATACTACTGCTAACCAGGCACGCCTAGACCCTAGTTATCTAACAACTTAAGACTAAAGCAACAGGTAAGACACAAACCGGTTGATTCATTAAGGTTGGCATGTTTCTTTGGCGTTGAACCGTTATTCATTGAGACGGTAAAGTTTAAATTTGTAATAATATTTTTATATATATAAAAATTGCTCTACTCTCTAGCTACTCTCTAGAAATTGACACAAGATAATGATTAAAACACTCTTTATATTCCAAGCACTTGTACATAGCCACTATTATGAATATCAATTAAGAGAGGTCAAGAGGAAGTTTTGGAATACGAAAGGATGAGATTGGAGGATGTCGAGAATCTAATTGAGAACATAAATTTTGCTCACAATATATTTAATTTCCTTTCGTGTTTCTCCCTTAAAGTCAATGAATCGTCATCCAGTGTTCTTAAGAAAAAAATAATTCAATAGTTTTTAATTCATAATTAAAAGAGAGAGAATAGTTTCTAAGTTTACAAAAATGATTGACACAACAAATAAAAAAATTTTCCAAATGGTCTCATGTGAACAAAATTTACGTATGAACACATGTTCTCCAATCAATATTATAATTCTGAAAGCACCGTGCTATTTATTCACTTTGGTCTTGCTTAAGGACCAAATTTGATTTTAATGAGGTTGAAAATATACATTGTTGGGAAAATAGAAATCAGAGTGTGAATTAAATTAACATAAGAACACATAGTTCCAAATAAAATGCTGTTGTTGAATCTGTTAATATATTTTTTAAGCAATTCATATGGAATTAAAATTTCCCAAGTTTTGAAGAAGCTCAATTAATTTCAAATAATATATACGCTATTAGTTTCAAATAATAGGGATATGAATGTCACCTAAATATTTTTTTCAAGCATGATAATTGGCGTAAAAGTATATTAGTACAAAAATAAGAAAATGTATATTCGTATACTAAACATAATAACGAAAAATAATCTATTATATAAAGACTCAGTTGAGTCTCACAAGCTTGACAAATCAGCATTCATTTTTTTGACACATCAGATTAAAAAAAATTATGAGAAAATTAAACAAATAAATTATACTAATTTCGTTTTCAATTGAACACAAAAACCGAAAGAGAAGTACATATTAATTTATAGTTCATAATAAACTGCAAATTAATTTAATTTTGAAAATTGGAAAAATGGAATCTCAAACAATCTCTAATGCTTTCTAATATCGACTCAAAATTCCACAAGTCAATAGGTAAAATTTTTTATTCTTCGTCTCCTCTTTGATTTATGGGTTTTTGAAATTTGTATTATATTTCTTGTATTGAATTCATTCTGGTTTTGTTTACATAGACATTGATCCATTTTCTTTGTATAAAGACATATCCACTGATGACAACTCTACCACCGGAACAAAGGGTTGAGACTTGAAGTCTCAAGCAGAAAGCAAAATACGATTTGGCGAAGATATTAAATTTGTCTTACAAAATACATATTTTTATCATTAAAAATTAACTAACAAACAAAAAAACAGGTTGAGAAAAATAATAATGAAGATATATTTGGTTTGGTGCAAAAATAAAAAGTATTACATCTACAAAAAATAATAACTACATTTTTACGAGTTCTTATGATATTCATATTACCAAATACAAAAAATTAGATTAAACTTATAAAAAAAATTCTATTAATAAATTATATTAAAACAAAAAAATCACATTTAATGACTATATTTTTATAAATTTGGATGATATTTTATATTATAAAAAAAGGTTAATTTTGTAGGAAAATAAAATTTTATAATGTATATTAAAACAAACAAAACACCTGCGTGTACACGTGGGTATTCATCTAGTACATAAAAAATAATCAAGTAAATCACCATATTTTTACAATCAACTACTTAATAAATGTCAATGCATATATATAAATACAAATATATTTGAGAAATGATTATGCAGAATAAACCGTGCGTATATGCAAGTACTAGCCTAGTTATTTATTAAACAAATATGGCATGTCAAAGACTCATCTTTAATTTAATTTATATCAAGATTTAACATTTAAAATGTAAACTTGTTCGTTTGTATAAAAACTTATACACAATTTAGAATATAAAAATTGAAAAGAATTTTTTTTTGGTGGTTAAAATATATATTCAACGAATTTTGTTATCAAATGATTTTTCATCCAATCAAATGTATATGTTACATTAGCAAACGAATGACATCTGGATCTTAAATGCTAACATGGATGTCAAATGTTAACATCTTAATGCATAATGAAAAACATATTTTTAATCAAAAAAAGAAGTCAAACGTAAGCCAAAGTAAAACCGGCGTGGACACCCTCTACTTAAAAATTTTGATGCCCTAGATAATGTAAACATCGGATTAATTCAGGTCAGTCTAAAAAAAATAAAGCCATCTCTTTCTGTATACTTCGTCAGTACCCATGTTGGCTGCTAACATTAAAAACATATAATTTCCATTGATAGGGTCTTTAAAATAATCAAGATTGAAGACAACTTGGATTTAAAAAAAAAATTTTCCGTCTTCTAGAAAACGTATAAATATTATACTACTCAATCGTCAATTAAACTTCCTTTTGTGAAAACTATGACATGTCCTCACGTTTTTGGAGGATTTCTTGGTAAACGTCTTTTGCTTCATTTTATGGTTCAGAACTTTCGTGACGTTCTTGATTTTGCTTGGAAAGTAAGAGCATATGGAGAGGCCCCATGGGTTTTTGTTGGTCACACTTATTGCAACTTTCACTATTATTCACCTAGCTCAAGCTGAAGATCAAGAAGGTATGTCCACATTTTATAGATATACATTTATAGCATTTCCATAGAAAAAAATCCTATTATTTTCTGAACTCAAATCCGCATATAATACCTGTCACTGAAAAACAAGAATAGAAATTAGAAAACTTGTCACGTTTAGCACAATAATGGTCATCTTGCATTTTTACCATAATAGAAAATCGTAGTAATCATGATAGATTGGCATAGTTTGAAACCTTTCTAATTTACAAAAAAAAATGGTGGAAGGTATTGGGTTATCAGGTGAATATAGCTTATTAGTGAATTTGAATTATGAAATCAAGTGGAGAACAAAAAAACTCGTGATTTGAGTAAACTTAAAAATTGAATCACTTGTGAACTAGTAGATAATAGAACTTTGATCTAAACCACTTATAATTTAACACATGGTAAATGAATAAGAAAATCACTTGTGAAAATGTCATCAATCACTCCGCGCGAAAATATTGTATATAGAGTGGAATAATGTTTTCAAGACGTGAAAAAACTACAATATACCATTCAAGCTCTTATTTGGGTGTCAACTTTTTCCTTTCACTTTAAGAGACCATCATTCGACTAAGCAACCGCTTAATTTTTTTAAAATGAACATTAATTTATCTCTAATTGCAAATCTTAATAGGGTTCATCAGTTTGGATTGTGGTTTATCCCCGAGTGAAGCGTCACCATATATCGAGCCAGATACTGGACTATGGTTCTCATCAGACTCAGACTTCATCCAAAGTGGAAAGATTGGAAGAATTGATGCAAGTTTTCCCAAGACCCTAAAATCATACGTAACACTTAGATATTTTCCAGATGGAATACGCAACTGCTTCAATCTAAGTGTTAAGCAAGGGACAAATTATCTGATGAGAGTTACAGCTCTTTATGGAAATTATGACGGTCTTAATATTTATCCTAAATTTGACTTACACGTAGGCCCTAACTTTTGGGTAACAATAGACCTGGACAAAAAGGTAAGCGGTCAAACCGAGGAGATCATATACATCCCACGATCAAATTACTTAGATTTGTGTCTTGTCAAGACAGGCACGTCCACGCCAATGATTTCATCCTTGGAACTTAGGCCGCTACCAAATGAGCTCTACATCACGGAATCAGGTTCATTGAAGTCTTGGAACAGATACTATCTTACGGATTCAGACATCATTTTATCGTAAGTCGCTTCAAGATATTGCTTCTTTTTTTTTTTTTTTTTGTGAGTTGGAGGTTCTAGCTAGGCCGAGATTAATATATTACTTCATGCTAGGGACTAGTGGGGAATTTTTTTTAAAAAAACTCATTTGGTTCTGCATGAATAGCAAGTAATAATACAAGATTTTATGAACCACAGGTACCCAAATGATGTCAATGACAGAATATGGGAACCAAAATTTGATTCCGCATGGAAGCATATCTCCACCAACCTTGAAGCAAACAACTCCAATGGTTTTCTTGTGCCACATAACGTGCTCAAGACCGCGGCAATACCCGCAAATGCTAGTAAACCGTTTAATATTACCGAGGATCTTGATTTCCCTGATGACGAGGTTTACTTGTACCTCCACTTCTCTGAGGTCCAGTCATTACCGGCCAATGAATCTAGAGAATTTGACATATTATGGAACGGGGAAGATTTCAAAAAAGCAATTAGCCCTAAGTATCTGAAGACCACGACAGTACACACCACTTCACCACTTAAATGCAAAGGAGGAGAGTGTAACTTAGAGCTGAAAAAAACTGAAAACTCTACTCTCCCACCTCTTCTCAATGCCATCGAAATGTACACGGTAGTCAAGTTTCCACAATTGGAAACTAATGCAAATGATGGTACGTTAGTAATCACCAATGTAAGGTTTCATATTATATAAGTTTTGGAGACATCTCTTATGCTAAACTATGAGATACTTATTGTTGTACTTTATGACAGTTGTTGCTATCAGAAAGATCAAAGCCAGGTATGGATTGAATAAAATCACATGGCAAGGAGACCCTTGCGTCCCCCAGAAGTTTTTGTGGGACAATCTAAATTGCAACAGCAAAGATACATCTACACCACCAAGAATCACTTCTTTGTGAGATCTTTATACAGCACAACCTTTGTAAAATGGTTAGAAAACAGTTTTTAGGTACATTACACGTTTTTTCTTTATGTGTAAACAGGAACTTATCTTCAAACGGGTTAAAAGGAACCATAGCAGCTGCAATTCAAAATCTTACTCGTCTTGAAATGTTGTAAGTATGATAACTGATACCTGGAAGACAAGAAATTCATACCTGTTAATGACATTTGATTCTTACAAACTCCAGGGACTTGTCAAATAACAAATTGACTGGAGAAGTTCCAAAGTTTCTAGCTAATATGAAGTCTTTATTTCTCATGTAAGTTTCTCTCGACATATTTGGTCATATTCTTTCTTGGGATCATGTTCACCTTTCTGTACGAGCTTTTTCTCTGGTTTAACAGAAACTTGAGCAAGAACAATCTGGTTGGTTCCATTCCACAAGCCCTTCTTGATAGAGAGAGAGAAGGGCTGAAGTTGATGTAAGAATGAACTCCACCCATACACTTTTCCTTTTGAATCCTTTACCACATGCATTCAGAATCCTAAGATTCAATCCTTTTTTGTAGTGTTGATGGAGAGCATCACTGTGTATCTGGTTCATGTGAAGCAAAGAAGAAGAAATTTCCAGTAATGATATTAGCTTCTTCCGCGGTTGTTGTGGTCATTGTAGTGGTTCTAGTTCTCATTTTTGTGTTTAAGAAGAAAAAATCATCAAATTCAGAAGGTATTCGCCAAAACTAATATTATAAGCAAAACAACTATATATACACACTATTCTTGTACTAAATTTAGGTCTCTACAGCTATACCACCATCATCAGTTACGCCTAGTGTAAATACTGGATCCACTAATCTATCTGAATTATGGATCGAGACGAGAAGGAAGAAATTTACTTATTCAGAGGTTTTGGAAATGACAAAAAACTTGGAAAGACCACTTGGTGAAGGAGGGTTCGGCGTTGTTTATCATGGTGAAATAAATGGTTCACAACAAGTAGCTGTCAAACTACTTTCCCAAACATCTACACAAGGCTATAAAGAGTTCAAGGCAGAGGTAAAAAAAATCTCGTAAGTCTATGTATGTTAATCTAATGGATTTCATGTGTTTTTTTTTTTTTTTCCTTTGTTAATTGGTGTACAGGTCGAACTTTTGTTGAGAGTTCACCACATAAACTTGGTAAGCCTAGTAGGATATTGCGATGAACGAGATCATTTGGCTCTCATCTATGAATACATGTCCAATAGAGACTTGAAATATCATTTGTCAGGTGAAAAATTATACTATTTATATATAGATAACTATAGCATTTTTGGTTATATTAATACATAAAAGATATGTTTAGCTGATTTGGCAATCTATGACAGGAAAATGTGGCAACGCTGTTCTGAAGTGGAGTACAAGACTACAAATAGCCATTGATGCCGCACAAGGTTCGAACTATAAAAACGTCATCTACTTTTCTTCTTACTAATCATTTCATGTGTTCTATGGAGCTAAATGATTCAAACATAAACAGTACATATACATTTTCTAATCTTCTACTCAAGTTAGAAAAATGAATGGGCCGTTTATACTCTTAACATAGTAATAATATGCATCAATTTGATAATCTTGTTACAATGACGAAGGTAATAGTTTTGGATAAATTTTGTTATAAACGTTAACCATATTCTTATCACGATTTGTAAAGACCATACAAAAATAAACAGTGCAAGTTCTAATGTTTATAGGACTAGAATACTTACATTTTGGATGTCGACCATCTATGGTACATAGAGATGTCAAAAGTACAAATATATTGTTGGACGAACGATATAGTGCCAAAATTGCGGATTTTGGGCTTTCAAGATCTTACCAACTCGAAGATAAATCTCATCATGTTTCGACAGCTATTGCTGGCACTCCTGGATATCTTGACCCTGAGTAAGTATAATTACTCCACCTAAGATTTGGTGCCTTTGGTTGTATGTATGAACAGGATATGTCAAAAGAAACTCAAAAATGATAATACACACAAATGAGCTAAAATTTGTGTCAGTATTCATCTTTTCCAGTTAAACGAGTTTACATATATTACTCTATGTTTTTGCCATGCTAGATACTACAGGACAGGTCGTTTGGCAGAAATGAGCGATGTCTATAGTTTCGGGATTGTATTATTGGAGATAATCACAAACCAACGCGTGATGGACCTAACCCGTGATAAGTCACACATAGCAGAATGGACAGCATTTATGCTTATTAGAGGAGATATTACCAGTATCATGGATCCTAACCTTCATGGTGATTACAACTCTCGTTCTGTCTGGAGAGCTCTTGAATTAGCTATGTTGTGTGCAAACCCTTCTTCAGAAAAACGACCAAGCATGTTCCAAGTTGTTATCGAGCTAAAAGAGTGTCTTGCCTCTGAAATCTCGATGAAAAGTAACAATCAAGACATGGACTCTCACAGTTCCTCTGAAGTAAGCTTGAGCTTTGACACCAAGGTTGTGCCTAGCGCAAGGTAGTATTTCCAAAGAAGCCTTGTTTGCGTCGATTTTATACATTTCTGTTTGTTGTATGTATCTTTTTGTTGGAGTGACATCCTAAAGAAACATCTAATCAAAACAAAAAAATATATATAGAGTAAGAGACATGAGCAAGAAATATAACAATTTTTTTACTCATTCATTTAAATTTATTGTTAGATATTATATTTGGGCAGTTACTTTTCATACTCGCATGCTATCTTTTTTTTCTTTCTTTTTTTGTTAATTAGGAGGGCTTCAGGCCGACCACCTTTTACTATTACTTTGCGATATAATTTGTAAGATATTTTTTCTATTAGGAATTGAACTAGAGGCACATATGATCAAGTGACCAACCCCTGTATTTAACCACTTGTTGAAGGTAGGTTTAGTATCCCTAATTAGCTAGGTCTATCTGTGTTTAAGGCCCAGCGCTCAAGATCAACAACTATCAAGCCTAGAGTCAACAAGTCCAGTCAGTATAACCCGCGAGATTACTATCATTACAACACCGATCTACACTGCCCAGAACCGAGCAGAAACTGACACGTGTAAGAGCAGTTCGTCTATAGTAGCCTAACTGCACAAATAGTTCGGCGACGAACTCATCATGATTTGCCGCAGAGTGGTTCGAACGCGCAGCTCAAAATGCCAGACCCACAGAATGCACTGAAGCTGCCACATCACCCTAGTTGGGCGGGAATCCGCCTCCCAACTTCCGCTATAAATACTCCCCAAGCATCATTAATGAAGGGGATCCCCGAATATAATACTCTTAGGCTGCTTGTATTCGCATTTTATACTTCAGTTCTATAAACACACAGTCAACGGTCCACGACCTGACTGCTTTCTCGACCTAAGTTCTTGTCAAGTCTTTACTCTTAAATCACAGAAATCTCATCCCCTTTTACATCTTAATCATCATCACCATCTCATAAATACACTTAGTGATCACTGGGATCAACAATTGGTGCTAGAAAAAGGAGAGTTTAGAGATTTTCTATACGCAAAAGAAAGATTTAAAAATGGCAGAAGCACCGACCTCGACCTCAGGAGTGCTGAAATCGTCACCAGCAAGAGCACAACCAGCAACTACATCAGTCGCAACACTCGCGGAACCCTAGCTGCCCACACCCGTCCCTCAATCCAAGGAGACCACCATGTCAATAGAGGCCGGAGCGTCACCACCGCAACTACCAGCACTGCCCCTCGCTCCGGATCCCATGCTAACAAACAGCCTACCTCGCCAGATCTTGGACCTGTTGGCGCTGCCCCCGAATCCGGTCCATGTTATCCCACAAACGCCGGTCAAGCAGCATGCTCCAGCAAGTGGAGAGCATGTTCTGGCTCCTCTGCTTCACTCTTTGCTTAACATGATGAACGAGATGACATGCCAAACTGACCAGAGATTCTCCGAGCTGACGGCAGAGCGCGGAATGCAGACAAACCAACCAGAGAACCCCAGGTCCTCAGCCGAGCGAAATCGGGAGGTAGTGCATCGTTCAGAGGTGTTGCGCTTACAAAGGAACCTCTTGGGCGATTCTCCAAAGGAGCAAGTAGGAGATTCACCCTGATAGCCAACAACTCAGCAGAGACGCGTCCACAGGTCACCAGCCCTGGAGCTTTTCGACGGATGGCCGCAGAGCGGGAGCGAGACAAAGAGATTGAAGCCATCAAGGCGAAGATTCACGAGATGATCTCTAAGGTTCATCAGGCTACAAGCTCGGCCCTTGAGATAGGCCATGTCTTGCAAGAGACGTAGAACACTTCCTTTACTCACCGTATAGCCTCCACTCCGTTCCACCACGTCAGCAAAGTAAAATTCCCCTTATATTCTGGGAACACCAACCCCACGTAATACCTAACAGCATTCACGGTCGCATGGGACGAGCTCACTTCACACCAGAAGATTTGGTCGGCCCCGCCCTGACTTGGTTTTCCAGGTTGGAGATGCACTCCATCGACAACTTCAAGGCACTCTCAACCACCTTCCTCAAGCACTATTCTATCTACATCCAGCGGTTCGCCTCCAGTGCTGATCTCTGGGCTCTAAGCCAGGGACTGAAGGAGTCACTCAGATCGTTCATCGAACGTGTTAAAGCAACAGCCTCACGTGCCGAAGTATCAGATGAATTCACCATCCCCGCTTTGAGGAAGGCACTCTACTTCGAATGGCCATTCAAGGATGAAATGATGCTCAACAAGCCACGAACTCTGAAAGACGCCTTGCATCGTGGGGCTGTTTATCAAAGGTTAGGAGGAAAGGGCGAGTTTCAAGAATCTCACTCCCCAGAGGCCGACACAAAAGAAGAAGGTCCAGGACAAATACCACGAATCCCACCAACACTATGACGAAGAGTATCAGCGTAGACAGACCGCCACCTTCCTCGTCAGCAAAGTATCGGTCTCGTGCCTCGTTAATGAGGCCCCAGCCTTCTTTCACATAAGTGGCCAGCCCCAGCAATCTCTCCTGTCGAACAGGTGATTCCGAACTGTAGAAACGGCTATTCCAGAGCGGACAGTAGCCCCTCAAGTGAGCTGCAGCTCCCGCCACGCGAGACAACCAAGCCTTCTACAAATACCATCAAATGAGAGGGTACCCTACCGAAAAATACCGCAAGCTTCAGGAAGCTCTCTTAGCTCATTATCAGAAAGGGAAGATAAGGGTTCCTGACCAGCAGCCATCGCATTGAAACAACAGCAACTGACCTTAGAATAATAATTGACGCGGTTAGCAGGACAACCAACATCACCTAGACAATCGGGCTCAACAATATGACCGACGTCAGCGATCTCCCTATCACGAGGACAATAGGATACAACCTGCACAGCAGCAAGCTGCATAAAAAAGGCCAGTATCCCCACCCCCAGCTCTGACGATGATCAGAATGATCATGGGCGGCCTCCTATCTTGCAATGACTCCGTTAGATCGATCAAAGTACACGACGGAGATGTGGGTAGCCAAAATAAGAGAGACAAACGCTAAGGATACAAGCAGAAGGGGCATAACTTTCTACGAGGAGGACGCAGAAGGCATCGACCAAACATACAATTGCCCCCTCGTCATCCAGATTCGCGTGGCCGACTGCGACGTAATCCGAGTGCTCATCGACACAGGCAGTTTGGTCGATCTCATCTTCAAAGAAGCCCTCGAGAAGATGGACCTCCGTGGCATCGAGATGAAGCCATCCGTCACTCCCTTAACCGGCTTCGCCGGAGATACCATTACAGCCATTGGCACCATCAAATTACCGGTTTACGTAAGCCGGGTAACAAAGATAGTAAAACTCATCGTCGTCGACATGCCGACTATCTACAACATCATCCTTGGAACCCCTAGGTTGCATTTGATGAAGGCGGTCACATCGACCTACCACCAATGCCTCAAGTTCCCCAACCAGGCCGGACAGTCCGGAGCAACAAGAGGGTCTCGCGCTCATGCTTCATCATTGAGCATAAACTTTGCAACGCCGCTCGCACTCAGCTCTGCGCGACGATAAGCCGCAAAGGAATACCGACCTGCAATGTTGTCGAACCAGGACTCTCAGGGAACCAAACCAAGAAGACCGTCCGTTCCGAGACCTCATCATTCAAGTGAATATCGACTTCAGTAATCGCGATCATTGCGTTGGCATCGGAGCCGACCTGAAGGAAAGTATTAAGACCGAGTTCCTCAAGCATAACGTCTCCAGTTTTTCCTGGTCAACCAGCGACATACCCGACATCAGCCCGACCATATGCAGCCAAGAGCTCAACGTAGATCCAACATTCCGACCCATCAAGAAGAAAAGACGAAAGTTGGGCGTCGAACGTGCTCAAGCTGTGAATGACGAAGTGGAAAGATTACTGGCAGTTGGTCAGATCACCGAGATGAAATACCCAGATTGGCTGGCCAACCCAGTCGTGGTGAAAAACAAAAACTGCAAATGGAGGGTTTGTGTGGATTTCACCGACGTGAAAAAGGCCAGCTCAAAAGATAGCTTCCCACTTCCATAAATCGACCAGATCATCGAAGTAACTGCGGAGAATGAAATGCTTTCATTTATGGATGCCTTCTCGGGGTACAACCAAATTTTTATGCACCTAGACAATAGGGAGAAGACAGTAATTATCACTGATCACGGGACTACTGCTCAAGAACGCCGGGGCCACGTACCAGCACCTCGTATATAAAATGTTCGCCGACCAGCTCGGCTGCACAATGAAAGTTTTCATAGACGATATGCTGGTCAAGTCCCTGGTGTCAAACAATTACATTGGTCATCTCAAAACATGCCTCAATACCCTGAACGAATACGGCATGAAACTGAATCCCTCAAAGTGCACCTTCGACGTCACCTCGACAGAATTTCTCGGATACATCGTCATGCAGCGCGGGATAGAGGCAAATCTGAAATAAATTCAAGCCGTCCTCAAACTTAAGTTGTTGAAGAATAACCGTGAAATTCAGCGCCTCACCAAAAGGATCGCCGCTCTCAACCGATTCATCTCGCACTCCACGGACAAGGATCTCCCTTTCTATCAGTTACTCCGAGGTAACAAACGATTCGAATTGGACGACAAGTGCGATATGGCCTTCCAAGAACTCAAGGAATATCTATCTACCCCTCCAGTCCTGGAAAAACCCGAAGTGGGAAAAACTCTCTGTCTCTATATCACTATGTCCACCTCGGCAGTCAGCTGAGTACTCGTGCGAGAAGACCGAAGTGAATATAAACCCGTATTCTACATCTCCAAATCGCTTGACAGAGCCGAGAGCAGATATCCGACAATGGAGAAGCTTGCACTAGCAGTCGTGGTAGCAGTCCAAATTCTTCGCCCCTACTTCCAATCTCACACGATCGCCGTCTTGATCACGTACCCTCTTCGGACGGTCCTTCACAGCCTGAGCCAATAAGAGCGGATGATGAAATAGGCAGTAGAGTTCAGCGAGTATGACATTGATTATCGAGGACGCACCACCGCCACTAAATTGCCCATCTTTTTTCTTGATGAATCG